TAAGCATCAGAAATCCTCAGCTAATCACAACAGCTCCAGCTCCGCTGAAGGAAAGGGAGTTTACCAGTTTAGACCAGTTCACAAACTGCCTCAGCATCTCTAAAGATGCCTTTATTCCCAGAAAAAGGAATAAAGAGCAATAACCAGCTGAAACTTTAATCTTTCTTCACATAAACAACTCTGTGGAAACATTTCCAGTTCTTTGGTTTTTAAGCACATCTTGCCGATCAGTGGCATATATAAGCTTTAAGAGTTCCAGAAAAAAAAAACCCAACTGTTTTTCTCTCCTTCGTGCTTCATTAAACTTCAGTGTTAACTGGGAGAGAAGACCCCTTTCGATAACATTAATCAATGTGGCCACTATTTGGTGAAATTTTCTGAGATTAGCTACTAGCAAAGCAAGCAATTGTAAGAGCAGAGTCGATATAGAGAAGCTGATATGGATGCAAAAAGGAAAACACTTCTGTTCACTCAGGTCCAGAGATGTCTACAACCACTGCTGGTACCAACAGCTGCACAAGCCGGTGCTGACCTTCAACTGTAGGTTGCTGAACAGGGTGTTTCAAGAGTGAAGCTGCAGCCACACAGAAAAGAAGAGATGTTTTCTGCACTCGGTGGCTGTGGAAAAGCCACATGGAGGAAGATTCACCTTGCTGAAATGTAACCATCTAAAAGTTAGTGTTTGCTCTGAATTTGCTGCCTGTGCGTCCTCCCTGGAGAAGGAGGAGAGGGAATAGCATCGCCAGCAGGTACTTCTTCCTGTCACCATGGTGTGAAAGATGGGCAAAGAGACATTACAGCTATTAGAGGCAAAGTATTCAAACAAACTTGAAACTCTCCACTTTTTAGCTTTTCTACTTTCCAGGTGTAACTAAATTGTTACAGCTCTAAATAGTCTTCAAAAACTATAGTAGTTCACAATCTGGCCCTCTGTTTTTTAGGTACTACTCTTTTGAAATGTATATACGAGATTTTACATGAATTAAATCTTTTTATTCCACTCTCTGGTAATATACTATGGAATTATTTCAGTTCAGTCTGGCCTTCATGTAGTTTCCTTTCTCTCAAATAAAACCCCTTCACTTCCATGTGAAGTCATAAAGTGAAATGGAAAAAAAAACTTCTACCAAAAGGCTGAAGACTCTGTGTAAAACTACTTGAGACTGTGCTACTGTTATGTGTCCTTATAGGGAACACGTAATTATTATGGTGTCTGGAAATCTACAAAAACATGGTACAAATCTGTCACTTCAATTAAAAGAAAAAAAAAGTCAACACTGAAGATTCAGGAAATATAAAGGCTAACACATTAGGTAAATGCTTTATTTAGAAATAAAAGCAAAAACTATTAAAGAATTTTACTTGAGGCAAGAAAATAAACTGCACTGCTTAAAATAAAAGGTAACTTATCCTTAATATAAAATATAACTTAAACTATAATTTTAATTATTTTTTAATGAATTCATGTATTTGGCCCCAAGCCCCTAGCTATTAAATGGTTTGGGAAGGGTGTTATGTTGAAAGTACAGAATGGTATTTAAACTATAATCATTCTTCAAGTAATGCATGGAATTATTAAAATCCTAATTAACAGGCATAACTTGTGTCCACCAGCCACGTCCAAGGGTCACAGTGATATCATGATAAAGTGTTATTAGATCATCACTGGAAAAAACTGCTTAAATAGTGCAGTAATATCTCGCTTTCATGGAACCAAAGGACCATGGCAGAAGTAGTGGTAGTAGTCCTCACCACACGTTACAAATTTCATATTCTAAAATTAATTTTTCAGAATGCTTGCTTCAGCTTTGAGCTCCTATCTCCATACCTTTAAGATCAGTTATACCACATGCAGACATAGTTTTTATGGCTACACAGTGCGCCATGGCTTGAAGACTCCTAGGAAACAGTAAAAAAAAAATAATCTACATGAGCATACAGAGAAGCCGGTTTAGTTTTCTTATCCCCATGGCAAATGTACTTGGTGGACTAGTCTGAGGCTAAATTTATGAGGGTCCAAAAGGATATTAAACCAAGTTCAAAATATAATGCTAACTCAAAACACAATCTATGGAAGCGGTTTTAAATAAAACTCATTAATTCATTTCTTACACAATCTGCAAATCTGTTATTTTGCTTTCCTTTTTGTCAGATTTTATGTCCATCATAAGATATAAAATCTGCATTAAACAATCTGCTATGGAAGAGAGTTTATGAAAGGCCCTATCCCACATGGTTATCTACAGGTTAGATGTGATGACCCAGAAGTCCTCTTCCAGCCTTACGTTCCTGCAGAACACTGGTCTAAGAAGAAGAGCTTAACACAACAGCTGGCCAGAACACAGGACATCAGCAAAGGCTCCAGCATTTCCCAGCTGAGAAAACAGCATTTCACCACAGGTCGTACAGCAAACACACAGGCTACTACCAGAGGAAATCAAATATTTGAACAAGCAGAGAGTGATGCGTTTCAGTCATGCGTGAAGGGAAACCCAGTGAATAAGAATTATACAGTGGCACCATGAACTTGCCCTTAAGAGACACAAAACAATTTATCCTGAATGGAATAGTCAGCAAACACAGAAGCATAATTGGGTTCTTTTTTCCTGAAGGTAGAGGGAGCATAGACAATTTTCCAAGAATCATAAAAGAAAGATTAAAAAATACTAAAAGAAGGACTAAGCCTGGATACTTCTGTAGACAAATCCTCTTTAGTTTACTTTTAAAAGACAAAAAATTAAAACACATCCACTTTGTTTTTGGTCATAGACTGGTATTCCAATCATTCTGAGGCTGGGAAAACAAGAGATAAGAGGTTCAAATAATGCAAAATAAAGGAACAGGAGTTCACAGGAATGTCTGATGTTCACCACTGAAATATGAGAGTGGCTAATTGCATAGCAGAGCTTGTCTACAAAATGTTCTTCAAGAAACACTGAGTTTGTTCAAGTACACAAATCCTTCTGATCGGAAGCAGGGAAGGCTAGTTTCTTATTTAAACTCTGCCAGAGCTAAAAGTGGAGCAGCAGCTGATTTTAGTTTTTAATGAATACGTGGTGCATTCCTCTTGACCACAGGTTGCAGTTCTGGAAAATGGGAATGATGAGGAAAAATAGATTCCATCTGATGAAGGGGGAAAAGCATCCTTGGATATCAGTTTGACAATCTAAGAAGTCTGTTTTGAACTAGTTCTGAGTGGTATAGTGACAAAAGCCCATATGGAAGTAAAACCAGCAAAAAACTACAGATCAGTCAATAAGACTGGAATTCGCAGTTTGGAGACCAGAAATCAGACTAGGCTACGGCAAACTGGGAACAGCACGACACCAGACCAAACTGTCTGAGTGTCTGGAGAACACAGGCGGATGACTGCACAATCATAGCTCCCTCTTGCACATACACCGGCCCTATCTCATCTTACCTTGTAGACCACCTCTCCCACCAAATACACCCTATGTAGGCATATGTAGACCACACCTTTCTACCGTAACACACTGTCTGCAGCCCACTTCTACCCACAAGTCAGATAAGTAGAAGAAATTGGCTTTTTAGATCCCACACAGAGGGGCCTACGCAAACCAGGAGACAGTAGGCTGAGCAAGACCACAGTGGTATTTATCCATAGCACTACTGGAACAGACTTATCCAGGCTAGAAGCTGCCTTTTCCTCTTTCTCTCCTTCTTTATCTCCTTCTTATTTATCAACAGCATGGGGATTTAGTTCAACTCATACTTCTGCTCAGCAGAAATTCTGGAGGACGGAAACCAGCAAGTCCAGGGTTGACAGCCTGTGTGCTGGAATATCAGCTTCATAAGTGTCCAGCTGATCTACAGACCAAACTCCAGAACCCGCTCACATTGTCATCCTGCTGATTACCAGGAGAGATGCAAAGAAGTGATCCCTGGAAAGAGAAGGTGGCTCTGCATCCCACAAACGTATTGTAGCACGACACTCCACTGTGCAAGGCCTCAGTGTCAAATGTTACTTGATGAGCCATATGAACTCACAACATATGACAGGACATCATGTTTAAAACAAATTTGACAGAACTGGATCCTTGTAGTGATGCAACTCAAGTGTGTGCTTCCTCTGACCTGGATTACGATTGCCACAGAAATCAGCTGTCACAGTCCAAAGCAGAGCCCAAGCACACAGCAATGTAAAAGCAGCATAATCAGGAAATCAGCCCCCAAGTGCAAAGCTGAGAACGCACTGGCTCGATGGTATAGATGTATCTATCCACATTTGGTGGAACAAGTCCCAGCAGGATATAAACTTATTTAGGAAGAGCATTCAAGAAAAAAACTGTAACAATTGAAATACATACATTGGAAATGTCAACTTCTGTGAAGCTTCGAGTCAGTTTTGCTGAATATCTTTACATGTAGATGAAAGGAAAAAGACCAGAGGTAGCATCATTGCCTGGATCCAGTCCCAGTTACACGTTCTTGAGAAACACTTAGATGAAATTGTCTTGAGAAGTTATCAAGAGCGAGGTAAGGGGTTGGGAATTAAATTAACTGAGTAGCCATTGTAAAAGCAACATGCAGGACAGTGAAACATTTAGGAATACGTTGGATGAAAATGTCAGCTTAAAAGGTAAAGAAGAATATCAAAGGCTATCTGTGACTTCATGAATATTCATCTTCATTAATAGGGAGGAAGTCATTAAGACAAAATGAAAAGGAGTGAGTTCCTTCTAAGTTACCTAGATATTATATCTTATACTGAACTTTCATTCTGTGATGATGGTGACCATGCAGGCTCAAAGTACTTTCCAGATCGTTGACTGATATGTTGCTTTTGGATGACCCCTATGATGAATGAAGGGGTTTAACAGACAAATCTGCAAAATATTTATACTAAGTATGAATATTTGTGCTCAGAGGAATGGATAAAATAGAAAATCCAGTTTAGACAACATACAAAATGTCCTGGAAATGTAATGCATTAAAAATATTTTGATTTAATTTAAAATACTTTAAAATTAAATATTTACCCAGATCCTTAATGAGTGATAATGCTTCCCATGATATAAATGCTCCACCACCGTCGTCCATAGCTCCCTGCCCAACGTCCCAGCTGTCCAGATGTCCACTGACCAATACAATCTGGAAAAGCAATTATGAGAAAACATATCTACATGAAAACACTGAATCAGAAAAGTCAGTTCGGCATTTAAGCATTTAAATGATTTTGTCATAAATTTGGCTTTTTAGTTTAGAGCAGGAGGAAGGAAACATTTCAAATAAAACTCTCGTTCTCTAGTCACTGAATATAAATCTCGGATGACCGAATGCATCCTACTGTTTCAGACCACTGCCTGAATCAAACTAGATATGCTGTGAGGAATGCTTAAATGAAAGGTTTTGTCTTGTACATTAAAAAGTGCGTACTTTCCAGAGATACAGGACTACTACATTGCAGAATGGTGAAAATTTCTTTCATATGCTGGCTGTTTAAGCCCTTAGGCATGAAATTAACCCTATTTTTTGGTGCATAAGTAATAAATATAAACTTAGACTGAAGTGTTCCCAGACATTGTTGGTTTATTATGTATCTATGGTACTTGCCACAGAGGACCTCTAATTTATTACTGGATCCCCTATGTGCTACAACAATGACAAGATATTTTATAGTTCCATTAGTCATAAGGATATTTTAAATTAAAAACTACATGGTAGCAAGTCCCACATGGGTTTCTGCAAAGAAAGTTTTGTGGCTACAGTAGAGTATAGCGGCGCATGTTTCTCCAGAAACATCTACTTTCAGACCTAAACTCTTCAAATGTTGACAAGCAGTCAGACCAATACCAGAAGTGAAACAGTTTCCTAACTGGACCTGAAGCTGAAGGGATGATGGATCTGCGATTGCAATAGAGGTGTCAAGGAGGGACAAGAACTCTGAGCTGAGCAGGCAGTGTGGTAAAATGATGCAATATGTCAAAAACAAGATTAGGGAGCCACTACAGTGCTCCAGGAGTCTTTGAAGAACTGGTACCAGTAAAAAGGGCCCTTGGGAGAGGGTGGAATTGGAAGCATCCAACCCATCACAACTCAGCACTGAGGAAAAACTGAAGGAGATGCTGTAGCATCTGTCTGTGTCCTGCCCAGAACTGGCCATGTATGGGCCAACTCCCTGTCTGGCTGACATTAATCAGCTCTCAGAGTTGTAGGCTCTAGAATAAGGTGAAAAATACTTGTTCCTCCTCCCACCTTCTTCTCCCTAAGGGATGAGGCTCTCCTGGCATATCACCTCAGCTTTCATACATTGGAGGACAACTACTCTACCACTGATAATGAGAACACAATGAATTTTTCCTGTTATCACCCCTGGAGGGTGAAAGCCTATGCTATCAAGCGTGCAGCTAACGTTGCAAGGAACTAACTTGGGGCCCAACCATGAAAACCTCTATTTTCCACTTCACATGAGAGAAATCTTAGTAAGAAATCTTAGTAAGTTTTCAGTGATTATTAAAAATAGCTCACAAACAGATCATGGCAACAGAGTACAGCAAAGATGAACTCATGTAGAGTAACTAAAAGGCCCCTTTGCACTAAACAAGGGCCAAGACAAACTACTAGTCATATATATTGTATTGCCATATGTCCAAACAGAATGCACCAAACCTCCTTAAATTTAAAAAATACACTATGAAATGTTTATAAATGTGTGTATTATAAAAACCAAAAGTGTCACGCTTTAGAAGCTGGAAAAGCTTCTGATCAGAATCTGAAGAGCAGCTTACTCTTTCCTTCTCAGATGTTTCAACTCTCTTTTCTGCTCACCCAGCCTTAGCTAAACATGCGCTTGCTATCCAACACAGACTCATTTTTTTGGTAGTAGACAGACATGCTGCAGCTTTTATTCCAAACCTCCCCTCCTTCCAAACCTCTTAAATTTGGACAGCAGGCCCCTCTGTAAAAGCCTCAGATTTACTCAGGAGGTATTCCTGCCGTTTAATGTCACGATCCTCCCAAGCCCGGCGTGAAAGACTGCAAACAGCACGTTTTCCAGGGATGCTGCCCTGCAGTAGAAGTACTTAATCTGCGGCAGCCCTCTGCTACAATAGCAACATAGTTTGAAACTAGATAATCTAAGAAAAGCCATGCCAGCTTTGGAGGTAGAAACCATTCTGAAATGAGAGCAGAAAAAAAGTGCTCCCTGCAGTACTCCTTGCTCTTTTTGTTTCCTTATAAAGGAGGACTGAGCACACACACACACACATGCAGACACTTGTGCAGGCAATGCATGACTGGTCCTGCTTTGAGAGCTTGGGATGCACGTGCAGCCCTGCTGCAACCTGCCCACGGAGGACAGAGCTCAAGCACCACCACATTTTGTGGCCTACTGACGCAGACTCATTACTGTCCACTCAATAAGGAATTTGCAAACAATAAATTAAAAAAAAAAAAAAAAGAACGAACAGAAAAGGTTTTGAGTAGAAGCACAACTGTCTGCAGTATAAATGATGTCTATTCCACAACTTCAAAATTGCCATGTGCTTTGTTTGTTCTTAAAGCAAAAATTGGTTTTAAGAAGATAACTGTTCACTATCCTGGGAAACAGAGCTTCAAGCTGAAGTGAATTATTTACAAGAAGTTTGTAAGCTCATTGAGAACCAAGTTTACAATACAAACAATGCCTTGTCTTTAGCAGTGAAAGAATACTTCACTAATGCTGTTCCCTGGCAGCAATCTCAACGTGAGCATCTGAGAGGGAATTACTCCTCATTTCTGTGAAACAACAAACATTGCAACAGCAGGAAATTCTGAATCAGAAGAAGGTGGTGTAATCCCACTTGGGGTTACAGACTCCTATCCCAAAGCATCTTTACCAGCTCCAGAACATTACACCAAAACAGATCAAAGTTCAAATGGATTGAGAAAGTCAGATAATTTTATGGATGAACTTTTACTCAAATTTACTCAAGCTGATGCCAAGACCAATTACATAAATACAACCAATGTACTTCTATGTGAAAGTTTTTTTGGAACAGTTGTTTTTTCAGCTATCATGCTTCTGCAGCAGCAGCTAAAATGAAAGTTTCCATGATCCTGCTGATAGCTAGCCATAGACATTCTTAAAATAAGACACAGTCATAAAATAACAAAAACGCTATGTTTATCTTGGTCCTTAAGTAGATATAATGTGTCTAGGCAATGAACGGAAATATTTCTAAAATTCACCCTAAACCACTATATTATTTAAAATAATATTATAAAATAATAGTACTATAATTCTCTGTACAGTTGGGCTAATCAGAAAGGCAGCTAAAGCTATCATGTAAGTATGATTATTGCATTTTCCACATCGCTTTCAAATCTGTTACGTGGCACTTAGCTCCAAATCTACACAAAGACTAATCACTTACATTTGCACAAAACATCCCTATAGAAATATCAGCACATGCCAAAAGAATGTAAGCATTGCAAAGCAATGTAAGTAAGCATATGTATGTATAAGTATTTGTTTTAAATATACAGAGAAACCACATGCAACTGTACAGGACAGTACAAATACAGCAATACACATTTGCCAAATTGAACAAAAATAACTTTAGGATAAGATAGTTCCCATGCAACATGACAACTTAAGATTTGACTTTCCTGCAGTGACACAGCTAAGAAATGCTACTTAGGCACAGTCCCGAGACAATGCAACAGAAGGGAAACTGCAGGAAACATTACAAATAGAAGATGAGTTATTCTATTTCCTTCTGCACCGGTATTATGACCTCTATTGGATGCCATTAAGTCATACCCAGAATTTCAATCAAGCATATTGAAATATTTTGAAATTTATATTATATTTTATATTTCTATATAAATAGCTATTTATATATTTCATATCTTAAAACCAAGAAGGTTAGGAAGAGGAACAACCCCTTCACATACATTTGCATATGTCATAAAGTTATCCATTTCTAAGCAGGATGTCTTTTGCCACTAAAAAATAATCTCCCATTCTATACATAACCACACATGCCTATTGCATTTGTCACGCAATAACTTCATAAAATGTAGGGAACTACCTTGTGCTTGGTTAGAGGAAATTTTAAGAAAAGTCTATTCCACTTTTAGTTAGTCTCCCCAATCCCACTTGCTCCTGTAGAGGTACAAGGCAAAGGCTTCTTTCTATGCACGTTAGCGATCATAAATAATAAACATTAGGAAAGAACTGTAAGTAACATTTTCAATCACAGAATCTAATCTAGAATAACATTTGTATCAAGTTGTGAAAACCAGCATGCAAAGTTATTTCATGTCACTGAGGTAGATGGTAATGGAAGAATAATGAAGTCGTCATTCATCTTTGCCCTTCATGGATGAAGACGACTTCATGGATGGAGGTTAGGGTCCACAAAGTAGGACCTTTAGTGATGGAATCTGGCTATCAAAACATTCTCTTAGAAAAGCTTAGTGATAACTTTCATTATCCAAACTACTGAAAAGCATTTTTTCTTACATCCTCCTCTAACAGACAGGGAAGGTAAGGAGCACCTTAACTTGAATGGAGAGGACAGAAAACTTAAACAAGGATCACATACACAAAGAATGAGATGACCAAGAGCTAAACAGGATATCAGAACCAGATCACGCTTCTTTAGCCAAGACACATTCAAACCCCATGTGTCTGTGTGCTAAAGCTTCAAGCTAAAACAGTGAAGTGCTCTAGACTGTAACTCAAGTGCTTTTCAACTGCTCGTCTACATTTTCAGCCAAATACTGCCACGAGTTAGTCATTTGCTCAGGCAACACAGGTCTATGGTATTCCAGCCCAGTTCCCAATTACCTAGAAACTCATGAAAAGTATTTCTATTCAAATTTCTGTAGTTCTTTTTTCTTCTGTTTGCTTCTAAATAGGTCCACCGTAAGCTCTAGGTACCACATGAAGGTCTTGCATTGTTTTACTGGGTATTGTTCCTGCATGAGTCCCTTCCCAGTGCATGGGATATTTGCACAATACTTAACTTACGCATATGAACACCACATACAGTTGATTTGTGTTTGGACCAAAATAAGAGGAAAACAGAAATCAGATAAGAATTAGGATCCCCTATTCAATCCAATCCAAAAATTCCCTATGAAGTCTCTCCTTCCCCAGACAC